ATCCCCAGATATGCTTTCTTCCCCCCCACCCCCTCCCCAGCGGAGGGAGGCAGCCGCGCCCCGCAGGGACCCCGACTGCTGCTTCTCCTCCTCCTCGCAAGCCCAGCCAACCCGCCGCCCGACTCGCGCTCACCCTTTCGCAAGCAGCCTCCGCCGGGATGGCACGGGGAAGGGTCTTCGGGGCATCCGGAGGGGCTGCAAGAGGGCGGGGACCCGTCCCGGGACGGGGAACCTTTCCCTTCTGGTCCGGGGCTGCCCGGCTGGGCTGGGCTGGGCTGGGCAGCGCACACACACACACACCTGGGGGCGGCGGTCAAGCCCCTTGTCCTCCGGCTGAGCAGCGGGCCCGATCCTCCACGGCCTCCGGGTCCGATCCGCCTCCGCGCTCGAATCCAAGCAAGGCGCGCCTGGCCACGAGGAGACAGGTAGTAACGGGGAGCCAGCCCCGGCTCCGCCCACCGCGCCCGGATCGCACGCCCCATTGGCTCCCGGAGGAGCGCTATGTAGATTTAGCCCCGCCCACGGCGGCTGTCACGGCGGAGAATTCCCTGCGGGTGGTTTTATGAATGGGACAGGTGAGGAGAAGGCCGCCGGCCGGCCGGCCGGCCAGGTAGAGGCGCACCTGCCCAGGAGGCGAGGCGAGGGAGCCCTTTGGGCCCCCCTGCTTGATTCAGTCGACCGGATCCGGTTGGGACTAGCAAGGGGATGTAGGCCCTGAGTTCAAGGGATGCCAGTAAGAGAGGGCAAAGGGGCGCATCCTTCCCCTGAGCATCCTGGAGGTGTGGAGGTCCAAACAGCCGCAACACCAGTAAAGTGTGTAAGAGGAGAGGGAGGGTTTCCTCCCAAAAAAGCCAGCGCGGGCATCCCTTTCCGTTAGCCAAAGCCACCAGGTTGCCTCAGGCGGCAGATTGGGTGGCTCCTGAAAGAGCAGAGATCATCCGCCTGGACCTGCAAAACCCAGACGGGACAAAAAGAGCCCTGTGCCTTTGATGGTCCTGCAAGAAACAGCAGCAGTGAAGGGGCAGTGATTCAATGAGCTCAATTTTATTGCTATGGGTGTGTGTGTGTGTGGGGGATACTTGTGTGGGATTTCCTGGCCCCTTTGCCAAAACAAGGGGGCTGGGTGTATTCTGCACCTTGAACTGGGCAGGCCGCAAAATGGCTCGGGCTGCCCCAGGGATAACGTGCCACCTTCCCTCGGGGTTGGAGCTAACGCTTCCTTTAGGAAAGAAGGAAAAAGCACAGCCCTTTTCAGGCTCCTCCCAATCGAGAATCCCACCATGTGCCCGTCTACGGAAGCCTTCTGTGGAACGGATGTCTCAATAAATATGGCAAACTGTCAACCAGATATGAAATCTGCAATTAATAACTCTCCCTGCGCTATAGATTGAATCTCCTGAGTCAAGTAGAAACCACAAGCCTCTGAAATGTTTTACGATGGAGTCATCGTGCTTTCATAAGGATGAGAAGTGGGGCATTCCTCTGAACATGGTGAGCTTATATAAACCTTATTTTAAAAATTTGTTTTCAATAAGCAGCCAGGCCAATGTGGAGCAAGGCGTGGAATCCAGAAGCCGGAAACTTCGGGATGCTTATGAAATTAGCCTACCTCCAGAGACAGCAGAAGAACGCTGAAAAATTTTTGTGCCCTGACAACAACAAGGCAGCATTAATTAGGTGCAAAGCAACTGATTACAGCTGCCTATGGGATCACAGTGAGGATCCTTTGGCTGCCCCAAATAATGACTAAGTAAGTAAGTAAGTAAGTAAGTAAGTAAGTAAGTAAGTAAGTAAGTAAGGAAGGAAGGAAGGAAGGAAGGAAGGAAGGAAAGAAGGAAAGCAACACTGTATGAAGGAAGGAAGGAAGGAAGGAAGGAAGGAAGGAAAAGAAGAAAGAAAAAGGAAGGAAGGAAGGAAGGAAAAGAAGAAAGAAAAAGGATGGAAGGACGGAAGGAAGGAAAATAGAGGTTCATTGTTTTTTGGTAATTGTGCCCAACTTTTGTGTTAGTACATGAGAACTTGGGATGCGTAACTGCCGAGAAAGCGCCAGTGGCTCATTTTCCAGAGCCAGGACTTCCATAAAGGTCAGGGATCAATGATGCATCTCTGCAAAAATGGGAATGACTTCATCTCCTAAGAGATTTTGTCTCCTGGAAGTCTGGACGGTGATGTCTCTGCTGTTGCATCATCCAAGTGACACTTTCGATTCCGCTGTGTGACAAAGGGGCTGCTGGGAATGGTGTCTGTGTGCATGTGGGGAGGTTAGGAGGTGGAACTATGCAAAGAAAGGTGCCAGAAGCTCTCAAAGTAAGACCAGCCGTTAAACGTAGCACACTCTTTCCTCCTCTTAGAACGTTGTCCCTCTATGCATGTACATTTTTCATCACTACATGCCTGAGAAATCAGGCACACAAGGAGAGCTATGGTATCTCCGAACTGAACAATAACACGACAAAACCAAACTCGTGGGCACAAACTGACTGAATCAAGTTCATGTTAGAATAAACAGATGGCATTTTCTTCTGAAGGGCTCACTGCTTTTAGATACGGAATCAATCTTATGAAGTGAGGCCTTCAAAAAACAAAATGCTGCCAGATTGCCTATAAGCAGCCTCCAAGAGGGCTACCTTTTATTTTATAGTTCTTGAATTTATAACCTTTCCTTAAGCCATTCAGGAACCAATTTTTCAGCTTTTAAAGTAGTAAGTGGCATAGAGCTTGCAACCCTAATTGAACACCAGGGATTTCATTGACAGGAACACAAAAACCCCTAATTAGCTTGATTGGACTAGAATTGGCACAATACAGAATCCTATGATGCTCCTTTTTATTGACATAAATGAACTTGAAGTTTCAGACTCTCAGACAGTCCACGACGTGTCTGTATTAGCTTTGGTTGGATCAATATTAACATCATTAATTAATTTTTAAGTCAGCTATTCAATGTATATTTTTTTCTAAAAAAGCAAACTAACTAATAAGCTGACTTCCTGCCAGCTCATGTTGAAATAAGCCTTCCTGTCATTTCAAATATAAATATTTTTCAAAGCAAATTAATACTCAGTTTCATTTTGTTTTGAGTTGCAACCATGCCGTGCTCAGCAGAGCAGGGTGGCTCAAACCTTATCACAAAACAAACCATGCAGTGCAAAGCTCTAAAGTCACTTGGCAACAGTGTGTGTGTGTGATGGAGACGTTTCTGCACTGGAATAAATGGGCTAAAGAAGTGGAGGAAGTTTTAACACCGTAAGTTTTAAGAAACATTAATTTTTCCACTGCAGACAGACCCAGAAATCATTGTAAGGATTTTATGGGGAAAAAATTAAGATAGCCACACTGATCTGTGAGAGCAGAACAAAACCGAAAACCCAGAGGCAGGCAAGTACTGTTATGAGCACGGCGAGTCCACAAGGGTGAGCAACATTAAAAGTTCTCTAGATCAAGAGACATGATTCAACGACGGAGGGGGAAAAAGACGTTAAAACAGGTGGCCCCATTTCTCTTTGCTCCACCTGTTGAACCATCTACCCTGGTGAAGAGACATGGAATGTGAAACCCTTTTTAAAAATGTTGTCAGATATCTGGCTGAAATCCTGAGCTTTTGAAAATTGCTCTTAAGAATTTTCGAAAACTGTTTTCCTCACGGTGATGCAAACACCACGTCCTGCCAAGTCCTGCCGTCTTCAAGCCTGAGGTCCGCTTTAAGCAAGACCGTGTCATTTTGGTTACAAAGGGAAATAAACACTCCAGAAATGGATGCCCAGCAGCCGGGCCCCCATGCTTGCCCTGCCCAGCTAAGTTCATCATGACCCAACCCAAAACTCTGTGCTCTTGTGTCCACCATTCCAAGCAAATGGGACCCGGGTGAACGTTACAGCCACGATCTCTTCCTGGTGGACATCCAGGGACCAATTCACTCACTACGCCTGTTGTTTTCAGGCCAGCTTTGCCCAATGAGGACAATTGCTCAGCCTTGAGGCAGGCGCCACCATCCATGTCTCCCATGCCGGAAGGACAAGAAGTGGCTAAAATCCTGTTCTCCAGTTTTACGCAAGTTTGGAAGCAAATGGCCACAAACCTAAGACCTGATCTATTGCACGCCAGGTCACTCAACTCAGCACCCGAAAGTGAATGTTTACAGAGATTTCTTAATCCAAAGGTTTGCTTCCAAAGGTTGCACCATCGGTGTAACTGCACAACAGGGTTTCAGCCACATAAATCAGCAAACAGACAAATATTCGGAGTTGAATGGTCTCTATTTGCACTTGTTGCAGGTGATGATGCACGTTTCCTGCCT